TTACAGGATTTAAAAAATAAAAGATCTTTACTAAAAAAACCAAAATAGAAACAGAAGTAGGAAGTGAAACATTCTTGCTGCTTTCCCCCATTCCAATCCCACTTTGCAGAGGAGCCATTGATAATGTTTTCCCTTCTAGACTTCTCTTTGGAATGGCAGGTTTCAAAACCAACCAACCAACCAACCAACCAACCAACCAACCAACCAACCAACCAACAAACAAACAAGATAACTGTCAAGTCAGTTCCAATTCATGGCGAGCCCATGTGTGTCAGAGTGGAATTGTGTTCCACAAGGTTTCCAATGGCTGTGACCTTTCAGAAATAGATTGTCAGGCCTTTCTTCCCCAGCACATCTGGATAGACCTGAATTACCAATGTTTTGGTTAGTAGCTAAGTGCTTAACTGTTTGTGGCACTTAGGCTCAGGATATACTTAGGAGAAGAGGTGACATTGTTGCAAGTAAAGATAGAGCCTGTACCCTTATGAGGGACCTTGCTCTGGATCCCACAATTCTTGGCTGCGCAAACCACCTCGGGCCAACCTGGTCCTTGGTCATGCCCAGAAGTGGACCAGTGGGTGTCTCTCCAGGACACAAAATGGCAGATATTTAACTCCAAATCATCAGACAATGATGGATTTCTCCAAGATATTGCACCTACTCTTTTATAAAACATATTAGTGTTGTTATAAATCAATGAACATGGTTCATAATAGCAATAATGCCCTTGAAATCTGTGAATCCTGCCATCAAGAACGGGCATGGCAGAGCGTGTGCTGCCCTTGGCTTCACCTTGGGCTATTAACTAACAAATCAGTTATTAGCTGGTGGTAATGACCAATTTTCAAGAGATGATTGCTTAAATATTGCCCACCTTGAAAAGAGAATTGTTACTCAACCGAGAACTGAACTCTTATTTTCGACTCAGTAGAGCTAATGATTTTATCTCCCTCTACAGTGGCCCCCTCCCACTTGCCCCACCCCCACCCCCATCTTCGCTCCCTCTTGCTCTAAGGTGAGTGGAGATCACATGGTTACATAACGGCTTCTCCCACGGCCTCAGTGACTCAAGTCCAGGAAAAGTTTCATGTTTCATATTTATTCAGTGGTGGATGAAGACAGATGGTAATGAAATCAGTCTTGCTGAAAGTGACCACAATGATAATAGATTCTTTATGATGTCCAGGAATTCTGGACTTTTAGTCTCTGCTTAAATGCACGTTGGCGCCAACTCTGTCGTCTTGAGCTTTAGTATTCTTGTCATCCTCCTGACCTCTCCTTAGACCAGAGCAGGCAGGCCAGGCTGTGCTAAAGGCACCAATCTGTCTTTCTCCTCATGTAAGTGCTTTAAACACCTAGCGCCACCAGTGACTCACCAGCAGAGAGTTTTTTAGAACACAGGAAGACTAGAAGATGAAATAAGAGTCCCCTTAGTGCTGGTGGACAGGCAGGCTAATGTTTTTGTGGGCTGTCCATTGCTGGTAACTAGTTCTTGCGACCCACCGAAGCTAACCAGCAGGGCCCCACTCTGGTTGAGGATTTCAGAATGCCTTCTCTCAAGCATTACTTTGTTAGCCTGCAATGGAACTGGGGGAAAGGGGAGGGTTGTGGGGGAGGAAGGGGAGATGTAAAATGAAGCCAAGTTGGCAAGAATCATGCTTCTGCCACACGAGTAAGCTCTGAGAGCTGATTGCACTGGAGATAGCAATACCCTGCGTCAGGGCGAGCTTTTTAAAGCAACCCAGCAGCCCTTTTTAGTAGTAAGAGGTAAATCATCCTGACGTTCCTTGGTATCCAAAACATTAATCACATTGAATTCTTTTGTTATTCTGGGGTCTGGATCAAGTGTAATTCTATAGGAATTCTACTGTAATCTAATATTAATTAATCTCTGCTTTAGATAGCATGGTGCCCAAATCGCTTCTCTGCATTTGTTTGCTTGTACACATATTATTAGCTTTGTTAGGACTTAACTCTCAGCGGGGAACTGCTCCTCTCCCCTCTTTGACTCATTTTTTCATCTCCCTCTTAGGAATTGTCGTTTTCCTTGAGAACAAAGACCTTGTTCCCCCAGGACATTTGAATGGTGAGAGGCAAGGATGATGAAAGGGCAATATCAGTGAGGAGTTGGGATCAAACTCCAGCTCTGTCACTTACTCGCTGGGTCTCTTAGCCAAAGTTGTCTAATATCAGGTTCTTCATCTGTGAAACAGACCCCCGAATGGCTCCTACAACCCGGGGCTGCAGTGAAGATGAAACAAGTGACCACGCGTTACACGTTTAACAACACAGTGCTTGGCACATATATTTGCTATTGCCATTTCACTACGAAGAGGAAAACAAACCTGACATTAAGAGATTAAGCCTGGTCTCCCATAGAAGAGACATGAGCTCAATCTTTGAGGCTCCATCACATGAGACAGGGATCAGTAGCTAGAATGTGGGGACTGGGGATGGGCAGATGTCTGCCTTAATGTAGTCATCAAGGCTGTGTTATTATTTTTTTTTTTTCAAGGCTGTGTTATTAAGAGCTCTCCATCAACAATGACATGGGGAGGGAGGGAGATCTCTGCTGTCAGAGGGTCAGACCAGCAATGGGTGGCCCTCAGTCAGTGACACTACAGGAAAAGGGGACTGGGGTAGATCATGTGGCATATCTCTTCCAATGTGAAGATTTGGGGTGTTTGCTGCAGAAGCCATGTGTTATGGGCACAAGGAAGGAACTGTCTGCTTCTTGGTTCTTCCCAGAATATGCCTAAAGCAACAATGGGGGGTCAGAATGAGATTCTTGGCTTTCTAGTGGTAAATACGGATGTTACACCAGCTGCCGACGGATTCTGAAACCTCCTGTTTCTAAGATGCACAGAGAAAGGAAGAAAACAAACAAATTCTGAAACAAAACCATAAAAATACACATTACACATTTATCTGGCCCATCATGTCTAAATAACTCCCTTTAGATTTCAAAAAAGGTACTCTGTCCACTTTCCTGGCTGGCTCCCTGCATCCTACCACCAAAGAGAAATACTAGCTCTCCATTTTGACCTGGTATAAAAAGCAGTATATTTTTTATGACCTGGTAGCGGTCACATTTCTACACCATAAAATATTAAAGCCAGCATGACAGTGTCTTTAAGATCTTGGAGGCAGGTGCTATCACAATGTGCCCCTTTATTATTTATTTATTTGGGTCTTTCTGTATAGGGAGGCTTAAATGCTTTCCAGGCCAAATAATTAAATCCCATTACGGAAGGTGGGGGGTTGCTGGCAATATGTGCTATTAGGCTCTTGAGTTCCCAGGGGATCTCCCAAGAGGAAAATGAGAAATCTGTCTTATGTTTATATACAAGGGGGCTTCAAAAAAGTTTGTGAGAAAACCGGAGCTAAAAGGTAATAGAATTTGTCCACAGACTTTTTGAAGTCCCCTCACATAAGATGTGCAGGATGACTAATATTGGGCCCACAGGCATGACGCGACAGAGGAAACCAGCCGGGAGAGCAGGTGGAAGCCCACTTCCCAGACGGCAGCTTCCCAGAGCATGAGTCTGCACACTGCAGCCCACAGGTCCGATTCTGCCTGCCTGATTTTGTTATGGCTTGTGAGCCAAGCATGGTTTAAAAATATTTTTAAGTGGTTGGGGCAACCAAAAGAATAATAATAAATTATGACAGGAGAGACTGAACTGAAATGAAAATTTCATTTTCCACAAAAAGCTTTTATTGGAGCAAGGCCCTACACATATGTTCATGCATTGCTTTTGGTCTGCTACCAGTTGAATGTGTACGATGGAGACCATATCCATATAAAGCCAAAACTATTTACAAAGTTAATCACAATGTCTACTAACTCAGTCACTAAGATTATATTGGTAAACTGATGAGAATTAAGCCCTTGATTACTTTGTGACCTTGGGCCAAGCATGCAACCTCTCTGTGCCTAGGTTTCCCATCCCTAAAGAAGCATAGAAGTAGCAGCTACATCACAGTTTGTTGTGAGACTTTGATAAGAATGGAAGTACAGGTGTATGTTGTTTTCTGTACTTTGCAGATAGTTTTTAAAAAAAAAACAAATTGAAGGGTTGTGACAACTGTGAGCTGAATAAGGGTAGCAGAGCCAGATTTCAAACAGGATGTGTTCATTTCATGTCTCTCTGCCACATTTTGGTGATTCTCACAATATTTCAGAAATTTTCATATTACCACTGCACAGGTAGTAGTCTACAGTGTATAAGCTGTATAAATATAACTTTTATTTTGTCCTTTTAAAGGTTTATTAAAGTTTAATGGAACAATTGGTTTCTCCTCCCCCCTAAATATAACTTTTATATGCACTGGGACACCAAAAAAAGGCATTTGACTTGTACTATTAGCTTGATGCAAGAGTCTGGAGCTGAACCTGAAATATTTCAGATGTATGTCTTGTGGATCCAGTGGTAGAAGCATCTCAGTGCTGGCATGGGTCTCGACATGGTTCCTCCAGCTCCAGGGCTCTGGCTGCCATCAGCATGGCTCCATGTGGCTTGTCAATAGGGTGGTGAAGCAGAGAGAGTGTGTGTCCTGTCTCAAGGGAGGTAGACAGGAGTTCCCAGAATGCTCAGGAGAAGGCCAGGCCAACAGAGAAGCATAATTAGCTATGACCTGATTGGTAGGCTAGCCTCCACCCCTTCTCTCAAGTGGACAGGAGATTATTTAACTGTCACAGTAGCTAAAGCAAGTGGAAGAAACGATGAGATCACAGAGCTGACCTTGAGAAGGCAAACATACAATTACTATAATGAAGTGCGCAAAGATACAGATTTAGAAAATCAAAATGGAAGAATATGCTCAGCATATCTTAAATTGAAAGAACTGGAAAAAAATTTAAGCTTTTTTTTTGGTGGACATTTCTCTTGAAGCACCCCAATTTGGGAGCCTAGAGCCACTGTTTCTGTCACAGGGATGGACAGCAACTGGGGGTGGAGGGTTGGCGAGGAGCCTGCACCAACTTGTCCGTGGTCTCAATGAGTTTACCCGTCAATCCCAAACCTTTTCTGAATGGATTAAAAGGAAAGCCAGTGATGGTGAAACTGAAGCGGGGAATGGAGTACAAAGGCTACCTGCTCTCTGGCGATGGCTATAGGAACAAGCAGCTTGTGAATACAGAGGAATACATAGGTGGGGTACTGTCTGGACGTCTGGCTGAAGTTTCAATAAGGTATAATGACGTCCTTTATATCAGAGGTTTGGAAGAAGATGGAGAAATTAGAGAATAACATCTTTTGTGGGTTTTTAAGAACACGCATATTTCTAGGCAATAAATACTTACCTTAAAAAAGAAGAAAAAATTCAAGCAGCAAGTTGCAATATTGAAAGATTCTATGGGCAAAATATTGAGTGATGCAAGAAGCATCAAAAAATGATGTAAAGGGGATGAGTAAGAAAAACATGGGTGAAGGAAGACAGCGGTCAGTGTAAAATATGAAAATAATAATAATTTATCATTTTTCAAGAGGTCAAGAGGGTGGGAGATGGGGAAGGAGGGGAAAAAAGAGCAGCTGATACCAAGGGTTCTAATAGAAAGTAAATGTTTAGAAACTGATGATGGCAACATATGTACAGATATGCTTGATACAATTGACATATAGAAGAGCTATGAGATACAGTAAGAGCTGAAAGAGCTCCCAATAAAACGATTTAAACATAAATAAATAACTTTTAAAATGACACAAATACGACAGTCACTGTACCCAAAAGCACTAGTTGGGAGTCCACCATTACAAGAGGTAGCATATGAGCAAGAAGCAATGGTGCTGAAGGAAGAAGTTCAAACTGCACTGAACTTCTTCCTGATAGATGGAGAAAAGCTTAAAATGGTGAAGGATTTTATCTTGCTTGGATCCATCACCAATGCTCATGGAAGCAGCAGTAAGGGGTCAAAAGGCGAGTTGCACAGGGTAAATCTGCTGCACAAAACCTCTTTAGAGTTTTGGGAAGCAAAGATGTGACTGAGTACTAAGGTGCACCTGCCCCGAACCCTGATAGTTTCCATTGACTTATATGCATGTGAAAGTTGGACATTGAATAAGGAAAACCATAGAAGAATTGATGCATTAGAATTGTGGGTTAGAGAAGAATATTGAAAGTACCATGGACTGCTAAAAGGACAAACCAATCTGCCTTGGAAGAAGTATTGCTATAGAGCTCCTTAGAAGAAAGAATGGCAAGACTTTGTCTTACCTACTTTGGACATGTTGCCAGGGGAGACCAGTACCTGGAGAAGGAGATGCTTGGTAGAGGGACAGCGAAAGAGAGGAAATCCCTTGATAAGATGGATTGACAACAACGGCTGTGTGGGTGGCTGCAACAATGGGTCCAGGCATAGGGACCACTGTGAGGATGTGCAGGACTGGGCAGTGTTCCCTTCTGCTCTGCATGGCTTCATTATGGGTCAGAACAAAATCTATGGCACCCAACAACAACGTTAAAGTCACTATGAGCCAGAATAGATTTGATGTCAATGCGCTATTCCCAGATACTATGGTAGATTCTGAGGATAAACTTGGGAGCAAAAGAGACATGCTTCTGCTCTCAAGGAAAAACAAAATTGATCCCCATATTTTCAATTTAAGCAGAGTGGATGATAATCAAGGGCATTGTTGAAAGGTAGTGGCTATAAGGTTTCATCGGAGGGGATGTGACCTGGAGCATGAATGTTATTATTATTTTAATTTTAAATAAATAAATTGCAGCATGCATATTATGGTTGAGTCACAGCCTAAGAAGAGTCGTTAAACTTTTAACTCAATGGAGGGAGGGACAGCAAAGAACATTTTTAGAGGGGATAATATGAACACTGGCAAGGAAGAGTCTACTTAGACTTTGGGACAAGGTAGTCTAGCAGAATGTGATGAAAAAGAAATGAATCAGAGAAAAAAATTACATAGTATAGGAAAAATTAACTCTGACTTTAACTCAAAACAGCATTATTACTTCCTCATCATGTTTCCACCTAATAATGCTGACACAATTTCCCTCATGGATCCCTTAAAACCATTTTTTTCTCTAGAGCCATACAGCTATGGAATTCCATTTGAGATCTTCAACATCAGCTTCAAATTACCACTCGAGTAGGGTGAAGATAGAGTTTAAGAGCACCTTTCATTTGAGAAACAGCTTACAATTATTTTTGTGAGGGTTTTCAATTAAGCAGATTGAACAGTATTATTATCCCCATTTTGGATGATGTATCAAAAGTGAAGTGACAATTTTTTGTTGTTATTGGGTTTTTTCTGTTGTTGTTGCTTTGGGGTTTTGTTTTCTTTTCTTTTGTTGTTTTGTTTTGCTCTGTCTTGTTTTAGTGCTTATTGAAGTACTGTCTCTGCATGTCTATCTAGATAAGCTAGGAGGGATAAACAATCTAGAGGAGAAAACAACAGGACCGACAGTTCTGGGGGGACACGGGAGAGGGGAGGCGGAGGAAAGGAAGTGGGTGTTAACAAACCCAGGGACAAGGGAGCAGCAAGTGATCTATTGTGAGGAGGACATAGGGTGCCTGGTAGGGCTTGATCAAGGGCAATGTAACTGAGAGGAATTACTGAAACCTGAATGAAGGCTGAACATGATAGTGCGACAAGAGGAAAGTAAAAGAAAATACAGGAAAGAACCAGGAGGCAAATGGGCATTTATAGAGGTCTAAATACATGCATGGACATATGTAAATATATTTATATAGGAAAAAAAATATATATATATTTATATAGGAAAATAGATCTATGTACATATATTTATATGTTAAGTATTAAGGTAGCAAAGGGACATTGGACCTCTACACAAGGCATCCCTCAATGCAAGAAAACTTTGTTCTAATAACCTGGCCTACTGTGATGTTCAGCTTCCCGATGTGATTACTGAAGACAAAATGGGTGCATAAGCAAATGTGAAGAAAGCTGATGGTGCCCAGCTATCAAAAGATATCGCATCTGGGGTATTAATGGCTTGAAGATAAACAAGCAACAATCTAGCCTAGAAGCAACAAAGTCCACATGGTAGAAGCACACCAGCCTGTGTGATCAAGAGGTGTCAATAGGATCAGGTGTCAGCCATCAAAGACCCCAAACAAAAAATCATATCAATGTGAATGAGGGGGAGTGTGGAGTGGAGACCCAAAGGCCATCTGTAGATAATTGGACATCCCTTTACAGAAGGGTCACAAGGAAGAAATGAGCAAGTCAGGGTGCAGTGTAGCACAGATGAAACATACGATTGTCCTCCAGTTATTTAATGCTTCCTACCCCCCACTGTCATGACTCCAATTCTACCTTAAAAATCTGGCTAGACCAGAGCATGTACATGGGTACAGATAAGAGCTGGAAACACAGGGAATCCAGAACAGATAACCCCTTCAGGACCAATAATGAGAGTAGGGATACCAGGAGGGGAAGGGGAAGAAGGGAGGAGAAAGGGGGAACTGATCACACGGATCTACATAGAGCCAGGGGGATAGACAACAGAAAAGTGGGTGAAGGGAGGCATTGGTCAGTGTAAGAGATGATGAAATAATAATAATTTACAAATTATCAAGGGTTTATGAGGAAAGGAGGTTGGAGGGAGCGGAAAAAATTGAGCAGCTGATACCAAGGGCTCAAGTAGACAGAAAGTGTTTTGAAAATGATGATGGCAACAAATGTACAAATGTGCTTGAAACAATGGATGGATGGATTATGATAAGAGCTGTACAAGCCCCCAATAAAGTGATTTTTTAAAAAAGCGAACCGACAAAAGATGAAAGTATCACACTTGAAGTATACCATGAGAAGGATGAGCAACAAAGTTGATTTAGATATGAGATAATAATTAAGACAGCTAAGATTTAGCTCCTGGTTTGAAAGCTGTGAGACTAGAACACGTTATTAAACCTGGCTGAGTCTCAGTTGTCTTATCTGAAAAATGAAGATTAAATACTTATCAAGGTCACTGTGAAAATAAAATCAAAATGTTATTGTTGTTGTTAAGTGCCATCGTGTCAGTTCTGACTCATAGTCCCTATGTACAACAGAATGAACCACTGCCCGATCTTGGGCCAGTCTCACAATTGTCCTAAGGTTTGTGCCCATCGATGCAGCCACTACAAAGCATCATGTCCTCCAGGACTGTACTCTCCTGATAACGTGTCCAAAGTACTTGAGAAGAAGTCTCACCATCCTTGGTTCTAAGGAGTATTCTGGGTGCACTTCATCCAAGATAGATTTGTTTGTTCTTTTGGCCACTCATGTTACTTTCAATAGTCTTCACCAGCATTGTAATTCAAATGCATCAATTCTTCTGTTTTCCTTACTCAATGTCCAACTTTCACATGCATGGGAGGTGACCGAAAATACCATGGCTTGGGTCAGGTTCAGCTTAGTCCTCAAAGGAACATCCTTGTTTTTTCACATCCTAAAGAGGTCTTGCAATACTTTGTTCATCTCTTGACTGTTGCTGCCTTAAGTATTGATTGTGAACCCAAGCAAGACAAAATCCTCGACAACTTTGATCTTTTCTTCACTTATCGTGATGTTACTTATTGGTCTAGTTGTGAGGATTTGGGGCTTCTTTACAGTAAATTGTAATCCATACAGAAGGCTGCAATTTTTGATCTTCATAAGCACGGGCTTTAAGTCTTCCTTGCTTTCAGCAAGTGTGCTTGTGTCACCTGTACATCTCAGGTCATTAATAAGTCTTCCTCCAATCCTGGTGCCATACTCTTCTTCATATCAACCAGCTTCTCACATGGTTTGCTCAGTATAAAGACTGAATAGTTTGCTCAGTATAAAGACTGAATAGGTATGGTAAGAGGATACAACCCTGATGCACACTTTCTCGATTTAAGCCAGGCAGTATTGTAGTACTGTGGTTGAGGTAGTTAGTTTATTGTGCCAACCTGGTCGATAAACACATGTGGGGTTAATTGAAGGGCAGGGGGATAAATGTCTCAGTGAGCCTCGCCTTTCTAGTTCTTGGGTCTCTTGCTTTCTGATGGTCGGACCAGGGTGCAGCTGCCTTAGCCAGTTCACTGCTTCAGCTGGCAAGGCTCACTTCCTGCAAGACATCCCCAAGGTAAGGAGAAGCCGCATGGACCTACCCCAATGCAGCCCTGGGTGCTGGAGCAGCCATGTGGAGACCCCTGCCAGCACTGAGATGATTACACACTCACTGATTTGGCTTTCCTCCTGCAGTCAGGATCATAGTGTGTGTTTTGTATGAGGGAGGAGGACTTTGTGGATTGGTGTGGGAC